TATTTTTAATTTTTTCTCTTTCTAGCAAATTGAGAAATATACAATATTCATACAGTACTAATAACTCATAAGGTACTACGCAACTAACGTAAAGAGATATATAAGCTAGGCCTAATTACAATGCCTACGTAAAAACTGCTCCATCTTAGGAACTGATGAGCTACCTTTTGCTCAGCCCACGAGGAATAGGGCCTGGCCATTTTTTACTTTGGCCGGACAAAGGAAAACATCTGACGAGAGCCACGTGCCACAAGTAGTCCTCCCGGAACAAATTAGCCCAGTACTTATTCACAGACGGCAATTGGGCCCACTCGGAAACTGGAACACGAACAAAGATTTCTACCAGAAGATGATCCGGGAGCTTTGCGAAAGGGCAATCAACTGCAAGCATCAAGAGTTTGCTGCTCTCTTCTGCCATGCACTATAGCAAAACTAAAACACAATGACAAGTGAGTATATTAGAAGACACACAACAAAAATTAATAGGAAGCTATCGTTGCAATCATTGAACTCAGAAAGCATTTCAGACCACAATGGTAGTAGAATCCAAAATTCAAAAATAATCTTCATTTTTCTGGAGAAGATGAAAGCTGAAAAGTTCCTGGTAATTAGGAAACTATTCACCGTTAACGGCACCAACTCTCACCATGCTCATAAGTGTAAAAGAGCTGAGCTGAGCTCGAGCTCCTGATGCGCGATTTCAGGCTCAAGTCTTTATCGAGCCAAGCCCATTAACTAAACGAGTGGATAAATGAGCTCACCCCAGCTCCTTTATCAATACTAACGAGCTGAGCTCGAGCCTTAACAAGCTGAGCAACAGAAAATTACATAACAAATCGTATTTTCGAGCCAAAAACTAAACGAGCTCAAACGAGCCAAGCCAAGCTCACGAGGTGCTCGGGTTATCAATTCTATGCTGATTACCACAAACTGTGGATTCCAATATTGGTGAATATTATGTTTCTCCCGGTTGGGTAAATATGCTCTAATTACTCGCTTGTAACTGATAAACTTCAAAAATCAACAGATAAAAAAATTAAAAACATTCAATCCTGATTGAGATTCCAGCAGCAGGGTTACAGATAAAAACAACTATATCGCCGCTGTTTGATCATAGAAAATAACAAAATTACACCCTAGTCAGTATATGTACTACGTAATCACACAAACACACATAAGCAGAATCATAAAAGAAAACATAATGATTTATGATTGATAGATATTAGGGAATAAGAAAATACAGATTTAGAGGCGAGTAGACTTTAATCTTCCTTAGCTGAAACTTGATACACAGAAAAGGAAGAAAAGAGCATTTAATTAGTAATCCGCCATGGACGGACGAAGAAGAAGCTGCAAGAGGGAAGTTTTATTCTAGCTGGCGTGGGGGATTGTTTGAGTGAGGCCACACATTTTGGGCTTGAGGACGGCATACGTCAAGTCCTTTTTTTATTTTTCTGAAAATAATAAAAACTAGTACAACACCAATACACGGGTGCTTGTTAAAAAATTATTCTTAAATTTTAAAATTAATGAGAAAACTAAATTAAATTTAGTTATAAAAAAATGATATTACCATATATTTTAGAATGATATGTGTTACTTATGACTTACATGTGTTATATTATATTAGTTGTTATAACTTATATCATATAACTACTTGAAATATAAATATATTAGTTGATAAATAATTTTATTTTTCTAATTAATATTAAAAATAATTTTATTATTGTTATAAAGATAAATATAAATTATTTTTTTTATACATACAATATGGATGTTAAATCGAAGCTCATCAAAAGAAGATTAATTTGATATATAACATATGTAAAATTGATGAAAAATACAAAAGTTATTAACTTTTAAAATATATATACAATTTTATAGTTATAATAAGGAATGATATTAAAATACAATTAATACATGTAACATGACCATAAATAATCAACATATTTATGGTAATCCGAACTTAATTATTTTTAGTTTGGAATTAAATTAAAATTTATTCAAGTCTAATAACGAAGCATGTAATTTTGCCACATAGGATTCCGAAGCACCAGAAGCTGCCACGTAGGATCAGCGCGTTCTGTATTAATATATAGGGGAATAGGGGAATATTTATTATGTGTTTCAAAATTAATTATGCACATGATCTTTAGATAAATGATATTTAAAAGTAGGCAAATTTGCCCCCAATATTACAAGTTTTATTGAAGGTGCAATTTAATCATGACCTTTTGTAAATTATATCACAATATTAAGTTTGTTGCAAATAAGTGTAGAAAAACAGATGTGGTCGAACAACAAACTGAAAATTGTGATATAGTGTGTACGAGATATACAAATCGGTACACCTATTTGTAACAAATTGAGGTTTGTGATATGATTTGTAAAAGTCAAAAAGTTGTGATTAAATTGCAATCTCAATTTTGCCTCAAAAGTATGCATGTTTAAAACTTTATTTTCTTTTCATACATTATTAGATTATAGATTCTAACCATCAATATTTATAACTTTATTTTCTTTTTATACGTTATTAAATTAAAATATTAATGATATGATTTTTTTTTTTATGTGTCATTCGACGATATTAAATTTTAATCATTCGTAATAAGAATGTTTGGAACTTTAGTTTATTTTATACGTAATTATAATTTTAGAATATTATTTTATTTTCATGTGTGATCGACACTTAATTCTAAATTTTGAACTGTTTTCGTCCAAAAGATGGCCTCCATCTCGGTAATTGGTAAAGATGCGATTTATTACAAAAATATATGACATTTCAATTTAAACATACATATATTTAAGATAATGTTCCCCTACTCACGGTGGACACATGTTAATATGTCCATTGCTTATGTGACATGCACACATTGGTAATGTTAAATCAACAATGTGTGTATGTCACATAGGCTTGTCAAAACGGGTTCAGGCCCGCGGGTGGCCCGTCCCGCCTCGCCAAAAGGTTGGGTCGGGCTGCGATTATAGAGGCCCGCTGAGTAGCGGCCTAAACGGGCTAGCCCGCACGGGCCGCTGGCTTTGGTGGGGCGGGCTGAGCGGGCCGCGGGCTGGCCCATCATTTAAAGAGAAATGCCAAATAATTTGGGTTGGGTCAATAGTCAATACATTTGGGGGTCGTTTACTTTGCTTGACAGGATGGGATAAGTAAAATTATCCCTTAATATCTAATGTTTACATAAAGGGATTGGGACAAGATTGAACTGACGTGGCGTACATGTGTCTGCGGGTCCCACAAGCATATCATTCATTTGCTGATTATTTCTGTCCGGGGTAGACCCCGAGATTTTTTAATCTCGTCCTGCACATGACGGTTTTACCCTCTAAATTAGCTAGGAAAAGACATAAATACCCTCCAACATCCATTTAATTACAACAATACCTTACCATTTGAATATTAAATTCTATCTGCATCTGCAATAATCCCTCATTTTCGTCGACTTGGTTTCGAAAGTGCAGAGAGTGTAGAGCTCATCGTTTCAGCGACAATGCACACATGTACAGTACATAGTTGAATGCCTTATGGTTGCCCTCTTCAAGATTCCTAATTTTTCACAGTCGGGATTTGTGTTTCTGTAGTTCTGTTTCCCCTTTCAATCTTGGTTCGATTTTGTTTTTTTTTTTTGTTTTTTTTTTAATTGGAAGTCGGTTTCTTGTTTTTGATTAACTACCGCCCTGTGCATTTGCCCAAAATTGACATCGGGTGTGAATCGGATTAGGGCTCGGCAAATTAAGGAACGAATGTTAGGGCTCCAAAATCGACCCGTCACTCGTTGTAGACCTCCTGCTTACACCCGACTCCCGACGAGCATTATTATGTGACCTTCGCCGCCGGATTTCTGCGGAACTATGGGTAGAAAACTCTGTGCACGCCGCCTCCTATGCAATTTGTTGTGGAGTGGATAGTGCGAAAATAAGCTCTGTCGATACAAATTCTGAAATTTTGGGATTGAAGATGAGGGGTATAGTAGTCTTTTAATCCACATCAGGTAATTTTATTACGCCCAAGTAAATGCTTGATAGGGATTTTGTAAACTTGATTTTGTGCTGATGTGTAAAGTTAAATGGGATTATTGTGTCCAATCCCATCCACCCAAGTAAATGAGGCCTTGGGATATTAAATCATTAATACACACAACTATTCATGTACAAAGAAAATAAAAGTAAAAAAAATTGATCCACAAAATCTCCACTCCAATCGGCAAATTAATCCCAATTCCCACTCTATGAAGAAAAAATAAATAAATAAATAAACCCTAGCACCCTCCACCCACAATCGAAACAATGCAAATTTAGTGATCTACAAATAAACCCCTTTTGGCCTTTGGAATCTTCCTTTTCAAGTGTCTTTCCTGAATGGAATTTTAAGAATTAACAACTTGCTGTCGGAGGAGCAGTGACGACAAAGAGAATTCATCCGAGAAGATAGCGACAACAGGGAGGAGCAGCTTCAACGGCGGCGGAGATGGCGTGGCAACGAATAAAGCTCGTCTGTCTGATATGTCTAACAGTAGTCTGAAAAGTAACAATCGGATCGAGCTGTAGACAAACTAAATGTTCGCGAACAAAAGCTCGTTCGTGAACGTTCGGTTATATTCGCAAACAATAAATTAATATTATTTATTTTTTTATATATTTACATAATTTTTTAATAAAAATCTAAAATTAAATATAATTTTATTTATTTTTTATATATTTACATAATATTTTTAATATAAAATCTAAAATTTAAAAATATTTTGATTTTATTCTTTTATTTTCGAGTTCGAACTAATTTCGACTTAATCAAATATATTTAAAAAGTTTATGTATTAAATTATTCGAACACGAACAAACTCGAACTTTAACGAACAATTAAACGAACAAGCTCGAACACGATTTTTTGCTTGAAAAATAAATGCACGAACACGAACATTGTTCGAACGTAAACGAACACGAGCTCGGTTCGGTTTGGTTGGTAACACAACAATTGGTGGGTTTTGCTAGTTGAATCCCCGGCCGCGGGTAAGAACCTTTCTCAACAAGGCTTCCCTCCCCGGGAATCGCTTCTCGACACTGCCGCTGATGGAACCACTGGTGCCCTCGCCGGAGATGGAACTGCTGCCGCCCTGGCCGTCTCCGAAACTCCTCAGCCCATCCCCTCCGCCCCCCATCCCACCACCAGCTGTCTTCTCCACTCTCCGCACCCTCGCCCTCTCTCTCCTCTCCCTCCGCCTTCCTCCACCGCCATCCCCCAATCTCACCGTGCCGCTTTCTCTCTCCTCGTCGGCTCTCGCCGGAACCCCTCCGCCCCCAGCCCTGGGAATCCTTCCGCCCTTGGAGGTGCCCAGCAGCCCGAAATCAACCCTGGCCCACGCGGCCCTGTCCTCTCTGTCCCAACCGAACTTCTCGCATAACTCCAGCAGCTCCGCAACCGCGCCGCCGTCGGAGAGGCGGCGGGCGACGTCCCCTGTGAGGACCTGTTCCGCAGCCTCCCACTCGATCCGGTCCCCGTAGACCGGGTCGGCCAGCACCTGGTCCGCCCACATCGCCCACTCCAACGTGTCGCCGGCCCGCAGGTTCTTCGAGATCCACCGCAGGTAGGACGACGGAAGGCTCCCCAACATCCTCCCTTTGTACTTACCGAAGTCGATCACTCTGTCCCTCGCTGGGATGCTTCGGTTCGGAATCGAGGCTCGGGCGGCGGCGGCGGCCGTTGTGGTGATAGTGGTTTTGACCGGGTCGGGGATCTTCGGTCGGAAAAGTGAAAATGCTGAGAATTGCAGACGCGATCGGATCGTGAGGGGGAGATTGGATTGTGCTAGGGTTCGAATTGGTGGTGGTGAGATTAGGGTTACGGCGAATGTCGCTTCCCCCATTTTAGCCGCCGGCGTGAGTGATGAGACTGACATTCTTATCGTTATCTTCTTGGTCGGGAAAGGATTTGCACCTTCTAGTTGTCAGTTTATTTTGTGTGGCCCAATTTTGCTTGAATGTTAATTAAAAGTTAAAACACCGCGATTCTCGCTCATCATTGTTCTACTGGCTTTCCGATCCACCTTCAATAGTTAAACCGTGATTACAGCATGACTTGGTTGGCATTGCCTACCCGCGGTGTATAACTGTCTAACGGTCTTATGCTTTTTACATCATTCTTTGTACTAAAAAAAAGTAAAACGCTGGTCAATTTATCTTGTGTGGCCCTATCGTTTTAGGCTTGTCTTTATTTAGGCGATTATATTTCAGTTCAATCGGAGTTTGTTTGCTTATTTAATTTTCGTCAAAATTTGAGATGTGTTGTTATCTTCCCGACCAATTTTGCACTGTTCGACTTATATTAGTTGATTGAACTTCAATTGGACTCATCATTAAAAAGAACGTACAAATATTTTAGTCGAATTTTAATTTACTTATCCAAATGTTTAATACTTTTTTTTTTAACAATGTCGGTCCATAGTAGGCCCGCTTTGTCTTTAGATTGTGTTTAGCTTGTTTACAATCAATGAATTTATATTGTATCGAGTCTAACAAACTTTAAAATAAATGGCTTAAACTCACTTCATTTATCAAACATATTGCGCTCGAACTTTATAAAATAAATTTACGAGCGACTTATCTCGATTTTGGTCACACGATGCAATTTTTCATTGCTTAAAACAAAACATCCACCTCAATCGAAGTAACCAATTAAATTTCAACGTTACTTCGATTTCAGTCGCATGATACAATTTTCCGTTGCTTCAACGTTTCAAACTTTTATGAAACTGAGTTTACGATCGACTTGTTTCGATTTAGTCCATACGATATAACTTCTCGTTGGTACCCAATTAAGCATAAATTGCTCCTACTTTTATTAAACGGATTTTCGACCAATTTGTTTCGATCGTGTCCATATGATTAACTTCCTATAGCTCAAATAAATATCCGCCTCAATCGAACTACCCAATTAAGCTCCAACTACCTGTCAATCTCAGCTCTTTCACATCTTATTGGCCATCTGACCTCGCTCTCTGCTTGAAGGCCCCAACCAAAGATTGATTTTGATCCAAACATCTGGAGAGTTCCTCCTCGATCTGATCTTGCCCGTTGGGAATCCACTTTCAATAGCTTGTCGATTTTATTTTTTTTTTTGTTGATTTTATCCGTTTAATCTCGAATTATGCCGGCGGTATACGGAGGTCCGATCACGACGTTTGAGGATGCCGAGAAGGAGAGCGAATACGGTTACGTTCGCAAGGTCCGGTTTCTGTTTCATGTTTGGTTTTACCTGATAAATTTCAGTGTGTCTGCCATTGCCTGCTGCGAGTTTACATCGGATGTTTGATTTGATCCGTTTCTCGACATCGAGTTTGTGTTTCCTAGTGGTTCTGAATCGCTGGAATTTATGGAGCAAATACGCCGTTTCAATGTGCAAATGGATCCTGATTTGTGATGTATTTGATTGTTCAAGAGTCTTGAATTTTAGCTATTTTATCCTTGGATTCCTGGAACCTGGATCTGATATACTTTGTTTAATTTGGAGATTTCGCCACCCTTTTTATGTGTTCGTTTGATCAATGCATTTGTAGATAGCTATACCGGAATCGTGTTTTGAGGACATTTAATGAGTTCGAATCTGTCTTATTTGGAATTGAAAGCTTAGTTGTGATATTTTCTGTGGAACAATGTTCTTCGGTCTGATTACATGTGTCTTTGTGCCGAACAGGTATCCGGACCAGTGGTTGTTGCCG